TATAAAGATTCCTTGTGTATTGTACACATGAAGCCTACTCATTTAGAGCATTGCCTTTCGTACTAATTTTCAGATATTATATGTTATTTTCCAGGTAATGATGTCTCAGAAATAATTCTCCAAATTCCTGAATTGTTTATTCAAAATAATTTTAAACCCGAGATGTCCTGCTTGAGGTACTAGCAGATGAAGGCTCTCCTTTCAAAAACTGTTAACTTGTTTTGTTCAGAAGCCTGCATTTACACTATAAGATGAAATTGGTTACTTTACTGTTTTCTGTAATAAAGAGAAATAGACCGAGGCTGCTGTACCACTTCCTTTCAAGAGTTCTGTTGCCTTTTTAGTATAGAATACGTTTCCCTTGCACTTTAGGACTGTTGTAGAATTTTCCTGGAGATTACTAAACATTGTGTTTTCCCCCCAAATACATAAACATATCTTAATTTTAAAATGTTGTTGCTATTCTATTTTACTGTCAATGACAGACTCAGATAAGCTATGGAAGATTTGTCTCACTTACAGTAGATAAGTCTTCTGAGCAACCACATCTTAAAAGTATATATGTGTGCATATGTACATGTGTTTGTTTAATAACCTAAAACTAAACTTTTTTTAAACCTAAAACTGTCTAAACTGTCTTATGACAATTTTTATATTTGTATTTGTTTTACATACATACTTTAAAACTGGCTTTAGGAGGCTGGGTAGATGCTCATTGGGTAAAGTGCCTGTTTTGCAAACACAAGGATCTGGGTTAGGGTGCCCAGGATTCATGTAAAAAGCCAGGGGGTGTTAACCCCGGTAGTATAGGACTGGAGAGTCAGGTAGATTCCCTGATGCTCATTGGTCAGTCAGCGGAGTTAAATGCACAAGCTTCGGATTCAGTATGAGACCCTGTCTCAAAAAGGTGGAGAGATGAGAAAGACACTGAGCATGAATCTCAGGACTCCACATTCATGTGCACCCATATGCATGCACTTATGTACAAAAACACACACACACACACACACACACACACAACACACACACACCAAGCCCCCCTCCTTGATTTTAGGAAAAACAATCATTGTAACTTACTGTGACAGTTTCATTAGTTACAGAAACATTATCAACTTGGAGACTGATGCTTTAAAACATAATTTTATTTTTCCAGAATGTTTTTGAATTGATAGATGAAAAATTACAAAGTAATATTAAAATTATATAAGTAACCAATTTTTGAATAGTTAAATAGTAATGTATGTGCTCATATTTGAAGATGGCTACATAACATTAAATATTTTGTGTTAATATGACACTTAACAAACTTTCCTTAGTAGTTTATACAACTGCATATGTAACATTCTTGCAAAGATCTTTTCTTGTGCATGATTCCAGCACAATTCAGAAACAAAAATGTTTATTTTATTGGTAATTATGTTTTCTAGATTCAATAATATGTTGAATTAAGTAGATATTTATAGATCAAGAATTTGATGCCAGTTTTTTCTAACAATAATTTTCCTCTAAAAAGCCTAGTTGTATAAAATAGGTTTGTGTGAATTTAGTATAAAACTCATGACACTGCCATGGTAGCTCATGCCTTTAATCCCAGTATTTGGGAGGCAGATGCAGGCGGGTCACTGTGAGATCCAGGCTGGCCCATCTGCACAGTACATTCTGGACCACCTGGGGCTACAGAAAGACCCTGTCTCAAAACAAAACAGCTGGGCACTCGGGAGGCAGAGGCAGACAGATCCCTTTGAGTTCAAGGCCAGCCTGATCTACAGTATGTTCCAGGCCAGTTGGGGTTACAGGGAGACCCTGTCTCAAAAAAAAAAAAACCAAAAACCCCAAAAAACCCAACAAAGAAGTCACCCAAAAAAAAGGAGCAAAACAAAGCAGATAAATAGAATAAATAGAGCATGCCTCCATTAATTAAATGCTATATTTATTTATTCCTTTTAAAATTTGTATTTATTATGATTGTATGTTTATGTGTGCGCATGATGTCTGGGTGTAGGTGTGCATGTGCCACAGCACTTGTGAATATCATAGGACAGCTTTCAGGACTCAGTTATTTTCTTCTACCCTGACTTCTGGGGATCTAAATAAGGTTGTCAGTCTTGTGTGATGAACTCTTTTACCTTCTGAGCCATCTGAGCCATCTCCCCAGCCTATTACTTTCTTTTTTATAATTTAAAACCTTCATGAAACCTATCTAAATAATTATTTAGCTCTATAAACTGCATTTTAAAAAATTAATGCTGTGAAATAAATAATAAACCATCTTAGGTATTTTACTAAAGGAACAATACCACCCTTACTGGTTATTTTCTGTCTCTGTTTATATCTTTGTCTCTTGTTTCTCTCTCTCTCTCTCTCTCTCTCTCTCTCTCTCTCTCTCTCTCTCTATCTCTCTCTCTGTGTATGTGTGTGTGTGTGTGTTTGTTTTTTAACAAGCCCTCACTTTGTTGTCAATGCTGGCCTCAAACACTCTCTGTGGTACAGGTCGAACTTGAACTCATGATCTTCCTGCCCCAGTCTCCTGAGTGCTGGATTACAGATGTACACCACCATGTCCGGTGAAATACGCTCTTCATGGCTTATTTTATATCTTTCTAAAAGATGAGCCATGATACCTTGTCTAATGAGAATAATCCAAGTTCTCCTTCATAGTGAACATAGTACTGTGTTAGCTATCATTATAACAAATACTGTAGTTAATTTATAAAAGAAAAGTTTTATTTGGGCTCAGAGTTTTGAAGTTAGTAATCTGGTTGGCTAACCACAGTGCTTTTGGGCCTGTGATGAGGGAACACTTTGTGGCAGGATATCTTGGTGCAATAAAACCCTTTGTCTGTAAACAAAAGGGAAAGGAGAGAAGAACAGGGCTAGGTCCCCTACTCTTCATAGTCACACACTCAGTACCCTGGGAAGCTGCTGCCAGCACCTCCCTCCTCAGGCTTTTTACCTACTTCCCAGTTGTGCCACGGAGGGTCCGACCCTTGCCACATGACCTTTGGGGGACAGTGAAGTACAAACAACCAGGGTTGCTCTTCACAGGACTTTTGGGTAGGGAGCTTGCATAACATGAGTCATAATGCATGTCTCTCATCTGTGCTGTTGCAATGGGCTCATGTTATCACATGTGTCCCGTTGAAGCTAATGGCCTGAAGAATATCATTGTCAAAGTGGTGTGTTAGTAAGTTGTTTCATACGTTTCCATTCAATCATGTGTTTGTTATTTAATATAGAAATATTAGTCTGACTGCTGCTACACTTTTTATAAAGCCAAGGTAGTTGAATTCCTAATAAAATGGTTCCCGAACATCTTAGAACTTGATTGACAGATCCTCCAGGAAACCTTTATTATGTGACGCTTGTGAGGGATCCCCAGGGCACACTGCTATACCATCACAGTAGAAAACAAAGATGTCCAGTGAAAATGTCTCTGCTTTTCTCTCAGGGACTACATGTAGGAATTAAAAAAATAGCTAAGACTCACTGAGAAAAGTTTCTCATGTTTAAAGCTAAAATATTTCAAAACCTATTACTTGATTTATCTCTGCAGGTACTCATCAAGAAAGGCAATGCCACTTCTAAAGTGTGGGCCCAGAGTGGACAGCACGGTGCGCAGTGGAAGAAAGTAGAAGTCTTTTTAGGGGTCCATTCCCATGCAGAGGTTTGTAATGCCAAGTAATTGTGTGGTGAAGCAGCCTTGCTAATTGTTGCCTTGCATTCTGACTGAGTCCTTTTGCTTGTCATCCTCGTCTCATTCCCAATCTGATGTGTTGTATGAATACAGAACGCTTAATGCTCCATGTGGCGTTTTCCAGAAGGAATTTAGCATTTTAGAAATCCCTAACTTTTCCCAGTTAGACAGTTACAATTCTAGGTACATATAATTTGTGTGATAATCTTTTTCCATCCTCAGTGAGCTTCTCACACAGAAAGGACACCTCCCTCAATTCTGCAAATGTGTCCTCAGAGATTATAATACAGTTATTTCAAATGCAACTTCAAAAGACATTTTTTGCAACTGTACCGTGTTATGGAACCTTCTTACAGGGAATACATTTATATAATTTAAAAATATTTTTAGAATCACAACAGTATATGATCTTGTGGGTTTTTTCAACTTAGATTGCAGTAATGGGGCTCGAGAGATTGCTCAGTGGTTAAGCTCACTTGCTGCTCTTGCAGAGTTCAGTTCCCAGCACCCACATGGGGGCTAACAACTAACCATAACTCCAGTTCTAGGGGATCCCACGCCCTCTTCCTGGCCTTCATGGGCATTGAATGCACATAGTGTACTTACACACATGCAGTCAAAACACTCATACTCATAAAATTTTTAAAAATACTAGATTGCTGCAATATTAAGATGTAACAACCAATACATATCTAACAACTAAAGAAAAGTTCACGTATTGCATAGATTACAATGTTTAAACTGGAAATAATCATGTGATAGGCTATTTGGTGTGTTTTTCAGTTTTTAGAGATTATCAAGAATCAGGAGTCCTATGGTTTGGGTGGTTATTGAGTTTGAAGAATTTTAGCTATTAAATCAGTTAAAAGATGAACATAGCAGGGACCCCAATAGCTTCCATGTAGATAAACATTTTCTTCCTGGTCTTAATTATCTGGATTTGAGTTCTGCTGATGGGAGAGGACCATTGGCCAATATTGAATCTTCCGAATTCTGTTGTGTAGCACAGGTAGACAAGTTCGTTGTGAATCCTCTGCAAATGTCCTTGTGATCCTATGTCTTCTCTTTAGATCAGACACTTTCAACAGTGGAAGAAATTGCTATGACTGTGTGTAGCCACTGGTACAACCCAATTTCTTGGAATGATGTTTGGAATAAAGCCCATATATATTTTCCCTGCTTTTTGAATATTTGCTCATTTAGCAATCCAATTCTATGAAGTTCCTCTGTAACAGGCATACCTTCAGTTTATTAATTTGAACAACAGCGTGTTTAGGCTTCCTACTTCCATGTGCGTGGGGCGCCGAGAACTTGTTTTGGATCTGAGAACTGACAAAGGGTGTGGAAGTGAGTAGTCGACTCCTTCCTGGTGTCTAGGAATCGTGTGCAACTATACCTTCTTAGCAGTGCCGTTGCCCTACTCGCCTGCTTAGGCACGGAGGCCTAAGACGGTGATGATGCCCAGGTTTTCTGGGTCACGTTCATTATGGAGGTTTTTGATGAGCATCAAGCTCGCTGTGCTTGATGTGTTGTTTGTGTTCTGTAATTCCTGGTTGACTGCTTCCTTGTTAATTGGCTTTTCTTATTCATTTTATCTTTTTAGATTGTCTTCAGGGCAAAACGTGGTGTCAGTTACATAGGAGATGTGGCGGTAGATGACGTTTCCTTTCAAGATTGCTCCCCCTTGCTTCCCACAGACAGGAAGTGCACAGCTGATGAGTTCATGTGTGCTAACAAGCACTGCATCCCAAAGGACAAGCTGTGTGATTTTGTGAATGACTGTGCGGATAATTCAGATGAGACCACGTTCATCTGCGGTATGTAAGAGTGTTCCCTGTCCTCACTAAATGTTCACTGTTGAAAGAAAATGTATGTAGATAACAGCAGCAGATGCAACCCTCATGATTTAAGCATTTAAGTAGTCTCTGTTCTTCTCCATAATACTTAACTTAGGACCTCAATCTATGGAAAACTAATGGATGGCTTTTTGTTGTATGTGTAAAGTATTTGGAGTTAAGTTGGAAGACAGGTGTCTCCAAACACAAACAGAAGAGAAACAACCATTGATTGTTTCAAAGAATTGTTAGAGAACAATTGATATATGTGGGGTTGGCAAATCTCTGTACTTTGATGGATTTTAAACATTGTCATTTCTTGCATAAATAAATAGCTGTGACAAGTTGTTAAAGAACAATAGATACACTGAAAATATATAGAAAATGGCATAGTGGCCTTCTGTAGCAGATACAGATTAACTCTGTAGAGTTGATAGAAGGGTTCAATGCTTACTGGATGGTGCCCATTAAAACACCCTGAGCTAAATGACCCATGTGTGCTCATTCAGGAAAGCCTGTAACATTTGTGTCATTCCTTCATTTCATTGGAAATGATGTAAATGTTGTGGGTTAAAATGAAAGTTGAAAAGTCATTCTGCTGTTAAAATTATTACAGATTAATATTATCTGCTTCTTGAAGCCCAGTGTGCAATATTGAGAGCAGCACTGCTATGTGAATTGATATTTACCTAGAACTTTAATGCTTAAAGTCTTTTTATTTACTTATATCCACTTGAACTTCACAGAAGCCTTTAGAGGTCGATGGGACGAATACTGTGGATGAAGCTACCAACAAGACTAGCTTAGATTTCATCAAAATGCATACAACTGGTACCAAGTTGATCCTAGTGCTCAAGAACTTTGCTTTATGATCGATTACTTTCCCTGAGTTAGCATACCACCATGTGCAAAATGGAATCTTTCAAAAAATGTATAGGCTGTAAGATGGAATAATTGGTCAAATACGTACCACGCAAGCATTGGGAGTTGGGTTTGGGTCCCCAGTACCCACGTAAGAGATTGGGAAGTGGCATGGGTCTGTAATGGCAGTGCTAGGGGATCAAGACAAATGGATCCCTGGAGTTCATGGGCCAGTACACCTAGCCATTTGGTGAGCTTTGGGTTTCAGGAGAAACCAGTCTTAAAGATTAAGGTGGAGAATAATTGAGAAAGATACATGATGTTGACCTCTATACCTGCAGGAACACTTCCATGAATGTGTGCACACATCCACATGAACATGCACATACCACACACACATGCACATACCACACATATCCACATGAACATGCACATCACACACACACACACACACACACACACAGTCATTGATGTAGAAGTTTTATTTATGTCACATAGGTATTTGTTTCTTGAACATATATAAACCAAGCATAAATGTGCATAAACTAAGCACAAACGTTTGGCTAATCTTGAATGATATATTTATAAATATATATCTTTAGCTTTGAATATTATCTGTTAAATTTTGGTTAATTTTCTGCATCAAATGCTTGTACAGTTGCTTGTCATTTTCCCTTGAGTAACTTGCTAATTTATCATCCTATCAGTTAAAAAGAGTAGATATGCCTTTGAAATTAATTTGTAATGTATTAATTGTAGCTATCAAAGCTATAATTTAATGAACTTTTCAGTACTCAAAATATCAACTTTTGTCTAAATTTTTACTCTCTGTTCATATAATAAATATTTTAGGAATTTCAGCATTTGGGAAATTAATACATTAGCTATGAGGTATTTATTGAAAACTTACTGTCTTAATTATTTAATCGTTCTTTTACTTGGAAAAGCCTTTGGGAGGTAAAGTGTACTAGAGGGTTTACAGTTCTCTCCTTCCATCTCTTTCTGTCTCTTTATTCTTGAGAATGTAAAGTGCTCCCAGCAGCTGAAGCTACTTGCAGAAGACCTTTTCCTCTTTTGAGATGTGTTTTCATAGAGTGAAAGCTCTCTTCGAAATCACTGTAGCGGAGGCTGGCTTTAAATCTGTGATCTTCCTTCCTCTACCTCCCAAAGTCTGGGAATTAGAGACAAACTACACTATGCCTAGCTTTTTGAAGGTGATTTGTGATGATCAATGGCCAAATCCCTTGAAATTTTTAGTGGGCGTAGTCGTATCAGAACATTTATTCAAGAATACTAAATTTGTTCCGATACTACACAGGCAGAAAACTTTTTAGACTCCTTAGATAAATTGCAAAGAAAAGTTAGAATGAACCCCCAAAGCAGCCCACACATGACAGTGGGTCTAATTACTGAAGAACAAGTTTTCTTTTCATAGCACTGCTTATTTTTGCCACACATTGCAAACATTCTAGTACATTCTCAGTCGCTGGTTTTAAATTTTTAAAAATTTTGGGTTTTGATCTGAGAACTGCTAGAACCTGTTGCAGTATTGCGTGTGGTGTTAATATACTATTTATTTACAGTGGGGGGTGCACATGCACAGGTATCATGACGTATTTGTGGAAATCAAAGGATAATTTGGCATAGTCAGTTCTCTTCTTCCACCATGTGGGTCTCTGTTATCAAACCCAAATCATTACACGTGGTGGCGAGGGCCTTTTCCCATCAAATCATCCCACTGGCTCTCTTTAGCCCATTTTTATAGAATTGTTTAGTTTTTGTAACTGAACTGTAGGATTATACTTTTTCCATTTTTTTGTCTTTTTGAGACAGGGTCTCCCTGTAGCCCCAGCGGGCCTGGAACTCACTTTGTAGACTAGCCTGGCCTTGAACTCACAGAGAACTGCCTGCCTCTGCCTCCCAAGTGCTGGGACTAAAGGCATGCCGCACCATGCCCATCCAGTTATACATTTTTTCAAAAATTCAATCTCATTCTGTGGTTGTTTTAAGTTTTTAATTTTTATTTACCTTTTAATATAATCATGTGTATGTATATGTATGAATATTATGTGTGTGTGGGTTTGTGTGCATGTCCCAGCTCATGTCTTGAGTTTAGAGAACTTTCAGGAACTGGTTTTCTCCTCCCACTGTGTCGAGACAGGGTGTCTCTTTCTTCTGTCTGTGTGCACTCCAGGATCACCAGTCCCTCACCTACAGGCTGATTCTCCTGTCTCACATCCCATCTCACAGTAGGAGTGCTGGGATTACAGATGTGAGCAACCACACTCAGCTTTTTATGGGTTCCTGGGGTCACACTCAAGTTGTCAGGCTTGAGCAACAAGCACTTCTACTGACCAGGCCATCTCATTGATCCAAGATTTGTTTTTAGTAGATTGTATTGTTCAAAACAGAGTGGAACATACAGAAAATTCCCACATTCTCTCCGAAACCATACACACACAGCCACCCCCCACTATCAGGGTGGCAGAATTGCTGGAACTGGTGGGCATGTGTTGATGTGCCGTTACCATCGGCAGTCTGTGGTTAAATGGCGTCCCTCTTGCCCTGGCGGTGTGTGGGCTCTCACCACGACCACTAGAGTGCACCCGTTAGCTTAGGGCCGTGAAGGCTGTGTCTGTCTGAAGTATCTTCTGTGCTTAACTTGTTCTCCCCGGCCATCATGCCACTTCCCTACCGTCCTTTTTCCCTGTCTCCACCGGTTTACCTTTTCTGGAGTGTCATGTGGTTGGGATTACACAGGACGTATCATTTTCAAATTGCCCTATTTATAGGTAAGACTCTATCATGTCCTTCTTTAGGTTTATAACACATTTCTTTTTAGGGCTGAGTGATATTATATTTAATTGTGCCAAATTTTATTTATACACTCACCCAGTGAAGAGTGATTGCTTCTAAATTTGTCAGTTCTGAATGCACCTGGTACAAATGTACAGAAATTTTGGAAGTATAGCTCATCTCATTGCGGTAGTCATCAGTGAACAGGAATGATAGCGTGGAGCACACTATCTGATCAAGGGGTAGTTATCTGAGTTTTGGGTTGGGACCTAATTTTCTTACAAAGTCTTCCACAGGCAGCCAGTTTTTAATTGTAATAAACTATAATTCCTCAATTTATTTTATGGAGTGTGCCTTTGACATTGTATCTTAAGTCATTGCCTTAACAAAGGACTTCTAGATGTTTTTCATGCTGTTTTGTAGGATTTCTGTACTTTAATGCTTTACGTTTTGTGCCCAACAATTCACTGTGCATTGATATTTGCCAAAAGCACGCAGCCCCTGTGTGCCTTCATCATTTTGGCACAGATGTCCACTTCTCTAGCACTAGTTGAGAAGACCAACCTGTTTTGCCTTTGTTTTAATTTTACAAATACTACTGAATATGTTTGTACATCTATATTGGTTTTTTAAAGTTTTATTCTGTGTGTTTGTGTCTGTGTTGATGTGCACATATGTAGGGGATTCTCATGGAGACCACAGGTGGGCATAGTGAGTTACTTCTTGTGGGTGCTGGGACTCTAGTTATTCCCCTGATAGAACTTTAAGTACTCCTCACCAACGAGCCATTTCTTCAGCTTCCTATATCATCATACTTTTTATTTGATCTATTTGCCATTTGGGGGGCCAGATGGCAGTGTATTGATTACTCTGCTTTATTGCAGGGCCCGAAGCTATTGTTAGACACTGTCAGACATTGTATCTTTTTCTTCCTTATTATAGCATTTACTATTATTGATTTATTTCTCTGCTCCATGTAAACTTTCATGATCAATTGATCAATGAAGTAAACTGCCGGAATTTCAGTGGAATTGCATTTAAAATAGAGAAAACTGGTTAAAGTCTGATACTGTGATGACATTCAGTCTTCTTACCCGGGAAGGTGGAAAACAGCCCCCTGCATTTAGCTGTCTTTTGATCTTATTTTCTTAGTTTTCCTCCTATAAATCTTGTGTGTATTTTTAATTAGTATATCAGTAAGTACTGCTTTCAAACTCCATTTGTTTCCTACTAGTGTGTAGAATAGCAGTTGACTTTTATGTATTAATCTGATTTCCCACAACCTTACTGGAATTACTTATTAACAGCAGGAATTGAAATTGATT